AGAGAACAATTATATTGCAAGAGTGCATGTGATGAGTGGAATTGTTCAATAATTCCTATCTAAATATAAGTATAAATGAAACTTAATATTACATTAGACAAATAAGATATATTGAGATATAAGATAAAACTATCATATTATTTGTTAAGATAATAAACAACAAAATTATAATATAATAGGATAATTATCTTATTTATCATACCTGGTCGTGAAGCAAAGTTTAAAAAAATGTCCAAATGAGCATGTATTTGAAAATTTTAATTTAAATCCCTATTCGTGAAAATTGAAATAAATTTGAGATATTCGTAAATATGTACTATAAAGACAAAAGAAAAATACACATTAAAGAAGATTGAAATGTGTTTATATGACACACTTTTTTCAAATCATTTTATAAACAAGAAACCTAACAATTACATAGAAAACTAAAGCCTAATGCAGGTCTTGTTGAGAAATTTCGAGGCTTTGAAAAAAACTAAAATAAAAAAGACTTAATATAATACTAAATATTAATTTTTTTAGTTTTTTTTCAATCGTAAAATCATATATATATATATATATAAGAGTGATTTACTTATTTTAAACGTAAGTCTACCTAAACCTGTTTTATTCAACAATTCATATTTTATATTAATTTCAATGATTCAACTATTAAGTTAAAAATTCTTAATACATAGATCAATTCTGCAAATTTTTTTAAAAATTTAATAACTATTTGATACTGTTTTATTTAAATTCAAATCAATATTTAAAATATTTTTTATGATTATCTGTTAATTTAAATTAATGAAACATGGTATCAAATAATTTTTGAATTTTAAAAAAATTATAGACCTGACTTATGCATTAAGAACGATTAATTTAATGATTGAATCATTGAAATTCAACATATATAATGAATTATTGAGGTGAACCTTCAAAAGCAACACATGATTTCCTCTATTTTTTAGATATCTTAGCAAAGATATGTATCTTTTATCACATGCTTAAAAATTTAACTCAACAACTTGAACAACTTAACAACATACAATTTTACACAATTCAAACATCTATCAACTAATAATTTAATAGCATACACATCTTCATATAATAAATCAACTCAACATATAGATTCATTCGTAAATTATTCATCTTACGACTTATTTATCACCTTGCATCCAAAAAACAACTTATGAATTTGCTTAACTTGATGAATCTTTTTAAACTCCGTTCATGGTCTTGGTTTTTAGCAAATGTAGGGGAGGCTCATGTCTTCTTTTCATATTTGTGTATTAATCTCTTGGGGTGTTTTCCTTCTTGATGTAACTTGTTAATCCTTTATTGTTCACTAGATTGTGTGTGTGGGTTAGAGTATTCCTAGTACTCTAATTAATTTGATTTTGCTTATAAAATATTATATTTTATTAAAATTTAAAGTTAAATATTATTTGTGTTTCGGCCAAGAGATTGTCTAGGTTTTTTTTACCAAAGATGATTCGAGCCAGAATATTCAAGAGTGTAATTTATCGCTTATCCCAGGGTTCACATTGTTATATCACCTCGTTAATGGGCTTCATGGGCCTCGTAAATCTCGAGATTTCTCATGGCGATTTTCATATTGGAAATATTAGGTTGTTAATGACCAGATTTTATTCCTGATATGATCATTGCTATTTACAATCTTATCCTATGACTCTTGGTGGGACCTCTATCCCTGGTGACGGTGACCTCAGTATTTTTTCGACATCTACCAAGGGTCTCGGCCAATTCTGGACTCTGGATTGGCCTCCCCTCCTTAGTATGGGATCAGTTCTCGACCGATACGTGTCTTGGCCGTTGGTAGTTTTCATGTTTTATCCATCATCTCAAGATATATCTGAGATGGTACACTTGCCTTCCAATCCTGAGCCTATAAGGTAAAAGGGCTTGGATAATCGCGAGGGCGACCTAATGTCTCTTGTAATCGGCGAAGAGTTGTATCATCTCGAAATATATCCGAGATGGTACACTTGTCTTCCAGCCCTAAGCCTATAATTAAGGCAAAAGGGCTTGGGTAGCCGCGAGGGCGACCTAATGTCTCTTGTAATCGGCGAAGAATTGTATCATCTTGGAATATATTCGAGATGGTACACTTACCTTCTGCTAGGTATATATCCGAGATGGTATCCTTGACGGGTGTCTCTTCGTATGATTATATGGGAAACAATTTGATTTGAATTTTTAAGTATATTTTAATTATTAAGAACATATAAGATAAAACTTGATTTTTGTAGTGTTATAAAAATATGATATTATAATTTATTTAATATTTTTTATTATTTAATTTTTATTTTATTAATATATTATGGAAGTCATATCTGGTTCTTCACGCTCTCGAGGAAATGGTCCCAACTTTCGTAAGTAATGGAAGCTTTGCTCCTCTTAAGAGGAGAATGAAAAAGAGGACGAGAAGGAAAAGGAGGAGGAATATTGCCTTTGCTAGTCATAGGTTTGTAAAAAAGAAAAACTAATCATCTTAATAATTAAAATAAAAAATATTATACGCATAACAAGTAATAATATAATACATATGAATATTATAAATTAAACACATTATTGATTTATTTAACTATGTACATTAATTCAAGATTAAACACAATGATATCTCACATGAAAAAATAAGGTTCACTCACATTTATTAATAACTAAAATAAACATTTCTCTGTTAAGTAAACTCAAATTCTATTGTGGATTTATTTAATTATGTACATTATGGGTGTACACATATAACATTTCAAAATTTTGTTAAATTACCCAAACATACTTAAAAAGAGCAATATAAAAGCTCATTATATATATTAAAGAGCCTCTCAAATGAGTCCTAAAATAGTCCATTACGTTGTAACAAAATAGCCACATTAATCACCAAAACAACTCTACTATAAGCACCAAAAAAAACCCCACAACCACCCCACAACCACCCCGCAATAGTCCCAAACTAATCCCCACAATAGAGCCAAATTAACACATATCAAACCCAAACAAACTAGCTAGCCAAACCATAAAATAAACTAAGTAAGCTCCCAAACTTCAAACCCACACCTAACTATACCAAAACATGCATAGAGTTCTCAATCAAACAATATCTCAACAATAATTTGCACCAAAGATGTTTCAATCAAATAGCACCAATGCACAAAAATTGAAGGTCGAGAGAAGAGAATGAACTTGGCCAGAGTGCATGCAACAAAGAAGGGAGAATAGACTAAAGAACCTCTTAGCAAACCCACATTATTCACCACAAATCCTAAAAATCATGGAAGAAAGAGGAAAAACCTTCACACCTGGTATCACGCAATGGAAAACAGAAGAAAAGGATTGTCAGAGTGACAAGGAACTAAAGGAGACAGTATTATTAAACATTTTGCTAAAGATTTAATGTAATTAATATTAACATAAATATTAATTGTTTGGTAGGATTAAAACAGTACATATTTACAATATATAAAATAATTTTCATATATTTTTTTAACAATATTAAATGAATATTTTTCTTATATTATATAAATTTTCCAAAAAAAAATTGTTTATATACCGGCGTTTTATTTTACAGGTCACATTCTAGTATTAAGAATTGTGAATCTACAAGTTGATTGAATCTTAATGCTTTGGGAAAGATATAATTTAGGGAGGGCTTGAAGTTTGATGCCCAAAAGGCACAGAGTCAAGTTAAATCTACGTACGTATTTAATTAGCATTGTGACACTCTTGATCTAGGTGTGCTAGTGCTAACACCCACAAATCAGAATCAATTGTGATTCAACATGCTTGTGCATATGTTAACACCCTAGTTTCTTCTAGTATATGGTAACATTAAAATAAAAGTTAAAAATTATGATTAATGGGTCAAAAATAAATCATTAATCCATTTATGATTATTTAAAAACTAATTCATCCATAAAATGTTTAATAAAAATTCATTCAACTAATCAATTGACCATTTTTTTTAAATGAATAATCAACTCATCCATTTAAAGTATATATATAAACACACACATTGAATTTTTTTTTTTTTAATTTATAAAATAAAGTTCAATATTTTTATATACTTTTGCATTCAAATACCGTATGGGGCCGGGGTATGGTTCAAGACAATAATAAAAAAACATATGACTAACCAACGAACTGGGAACTGCTTGACCAAAATGGAGTGCAAAAATACATTGCATGTTTCATTATATATCTACCAATAATAAAGGATATCCAATCCAACCAATTCATTAATTTTTATAATTATAATGAAATGGATTGCATATTTACTGGGTGAAACGAATTGAATTGTCACTCCTAACATGTTCGATCTTCCTTGAACATATATAGTATACAATTTACTTTTGACAAACGAAATCTTTAATAATGTCAGCACAATGGGTGCAGGTATATATATGTTGACATCAGCACACACATGAAAATCTATACCAAAGATGCTTTTGCTTGCATATGAGATTGTACATGTTATAATGTTTTCTTGGTTATGACTTAGGAGTTTCATTTCATTTTGTGTACGTGTGTGAACAAAATTAATGGTCTGCACATGTACTCACATAAGTGTTACAAGGGTAACAAGACCGACACACTACGTAGTTTGTCTAAACACACACGGAAACGTTTGATGATAACGGTGGAGAGTGTTGAAATTTCAACCGTCTCACCTATACTATGCTATGTGCTAATGCAAATTCATCCCTATAACTCCTACCCTATGGAACACTAGGAGCCAGCCATATTCCGAAAGCTCTTAACAAATGGGTCCCTTCAATTCATAATTGCAATAAAAAATAACATCATCATCACTGTGAGGCCTTAAAGAGCTACACGACACATTTGGTCACAGTACACTGCCCCAACCAATCACACGTAGACAACGTAACGTTAACTAAACTGCTTAAACTTTCCCAAACCAGAAACCAAAAACCACTTGTCATCAAACCACAGCCTCATACAAATTTTAACCACTTCCGTATTATGGATACTTATTATTATATTGCACAATTATGCAATACAACAGCAACATTGCACACTTGCACTCGCTGTGCTTTCCCATGACACAACTCTATACCTGTCCAGAAGAAGAAAGATCTATGAACTAACATTCCCACGCTCGCTTCGCCATATTTGCCAGCCTTTTTAACCTCACTTCTTCGCTTGTTTACTCCTTTTGTTTCTTTTTTCCTTGTTTGGGAATTAGGGTTTTCTTCGTTGAAAAAGGGAAGAACTACTTGGTTTAAGTGGCTACCTAGGTTTAATCTATATACATATATATAAATAATACTTTAAAGAAACTAAGATGGGAAGGGGTAGGGTACAGCTGAAGAGGATAGAGAACAAGATCAATCGCCAGGTAACTTTTTCCAAAAGGAGAGGTGGGTTGCTCAAGAAAGCTCATGAGATCTCTGTACTCTGTGATGCTGAGGTTGCTTTGATTATCTTCTCCCACAAAGGAAAGCTCTTTGAATATGCAACTGATTCATGGTAACTCATTTGCCCTATATTATATTATAATAAACATACACATATGCATATAAATCATACATATGTATGGATCTATATTTGACAAATATATTTTTGGTAGTTCAAACGATATAAATATATGTAGTTAATTTATGCATTCAGTTTTCCACTAAATCAGTAATTATTTTTAAGTAACGTTTTATTTTTAATTTTCTATTTTGCTCTTGCTCATGACAAGGGTTTTGGTGGTTTCAGTTTGGAAAACGTACAAGTCTATAAGAAATTTGATTCCTCTTGTGTATTTTCACAAATCTTATTTTTGTTCATATCAAGTCTGATTAATAACTTATATTGATTGTATAAATAGATTTAAAGCCAGGTGATCCACTTTTCTTCTTTTAAGGAAGGATATTTTGTTGTCCAGAAGATGATTTGCTAAAGTTTAACTAGCAAAATATTCAGTTAAACTTCTCTAAGAATTTGTTTTCAATTTTTGAGGTATAACACGTGCAAAAGATTTAGTAGAAGCGTATATACTGTTTTATGTGTATACATTTATCTCATCAGAAAGAGCAAAATATTATCCGAATGAGAGATTTTACATGTCGTAGCTAGATAGAGTACGCACTTAACCTGTGAAAGCCCTAACCTATTTTTATTTTTTTATTTTCCTTTGATTTTGTTGAAATTCGTAGAAGAGGTGGTGAATCTCTTGCAAACCGTGATAGATGCTGTGACAGTCTTGTTGTTTTTCTATCTCATGTCCTTTCAGTTCAGCACCTCAAGCAAGATTTGCTAGACCTTCTTTTTCTTTAGTGTTCTGCACCTTTTCTTCTTCTTCCTCCTTTGAATTATCAAAACTCAAAAGTAGCACGATTTGACATTCTTGTTATTAAGGGATTACTTTTCATTGATGGGTGCAGCCTCCTAGATAAATCATGTTTACAAGTTAAATTGAAGAAATTCTTTAATTTCATAGATTTATATAATCTTACATATTAATGAATGTTCAAAATGATATAATACATATCAAGTAATGTTACTGATAACTAACAGGAATTTTTAACCTAAAGAGGATTAAAAGTTAGTAACCAAATTTGTCATTCATAATTAAGAAGAGTTATCATCCAGCATATATATGTAATACACTATATATTACTTTTTATAGATAACAATTTCATCATATGATTCAGCAACACAGATATTTGTTGTTATTTAAAACTCGTAATATGTAGTGTATAGTATATTGATATCTTTATATGTGATTAATATTGATTGAGAACTCTAATCATTGAACAGTATGGAGAAGATACTGGAACGCCATGAAAGGTATGCCTATGCAGAGAGGCAGCTAGTAGCAAATGATTCTGAGACTCAGGTTTGTCATTAAATCATACACACATCCATATAGAAGCATATAATTCCCACCTGCATCACTATTTTGCATCAAAGTTCTACCAATTGATGCTTGTGCAAACAGGCACACAATTGGGTCTAAGTTGTAGGAACTAAATAATTAATTAAACTAAGCCATGCATATGCATTGGAATGTTGCAAAAGTGATGCAATCGAAACCGATATTTATTTAAATATCAGTAGTTAACAATACTATAGAACTAAGCACTAGCTTTATACATGACATTGTGCAGGGAAACTGGACCATTGAATATACTCGACTCAAGGCTAAGATTGACCTTTTGCAAAGAAACCACAGGTACATTATGACCTATATCTATATCCATATCTATTTATCTACATATGCATGCTTTAATTTCCCATTATTGTTTGATTTGATCACTCACTGTCTCACATTGTCACATTGTCACTCAATTTAACATACATAATTTGCAACCCTTTTCCCAGGCACTACATGGGAGAAGATTTGGTTTCAATGAGCCTCAAAGAGCTTCAGAGTCTGGAGCAGCAGTTAGATACTGCACTGAAAAACATCCGCACAAGGAAGGTACATAGAACACTTAATTCATTATGTTAATTTCACTTTCATGTTTTATGTGTGTTACTTTGGCACTTACCATTGAAACGTGTTATGTTTTAATAGAACGATCTCATGTACGAGTCCATTTCTGAGCTTCAGAAAAAGGTATGCCTTTAACTCCAATTTGATCTTGGCTTTATTTATAGCTTTTTGTCCTGAAAATGAAAGATAGTTATAATATCACTGAGAACACAAAATGGTTAAGGATACTGATATGGAGATTTGTGCTCATTATTCTATATGTATGACAGGAGAAAAAGATACAAGAGCAGAATAACATCCTCGCAAAGAAGGTGACCTAGATCTTCCTTTACAACTTTTTTTCCCGGCTAACTAAACTTTTTTAGCACAGTAATCAATAATTGTTGACTCTATTATGAGAGTGAAATTGGTTTGATTATTCTATTACTTATGTTTCCAGAACTTCTGATTGTTAATTTTTAACCTAATAGACTTAAGTTGCTGATAGTGAAATTATTTCTATCCCTTTCTCTGATGCTAAGTAAACATAAAACTATTCATCAATGGTATCTATTTGAGTCAATTACATAGCTAACCACTTAATCACAAGATAAGAGTTTGATGGTAGCCATTTTCACTTTAATAACTTTAGTTACCTATTAGTATTTGTATTTGGTACTTTACACCTTATTTTAGCCTATAGGTAGATTTTTCATTACTCAACTCTCAATGGAAATACAATTGTTTAAACTTAAATCGCATGAGAAAAACTCAACCTAAAAGACTAACTCTTTAAGTTGGAAAATCCCTTGACTTAAATATCACAAGCTTGATATTCTAATTTCTAGGACTCATAATAACAGTCCAACGTATTATGTAGGAAAGTGCAATTCTCCTTTTGGTCTTACAAATTACATACCTAGCTTGCTATACATATTTGTACATTTGAATTGTCTGATTTTTAGCCCTAGGTGTATGCTTCAAATCGTATTGATTCTTTTCTATGTCACCACAAAACCATGTTTCATATCTCATTCAAATTTTAAAAATTTAAGAGTTAACTGAATTTGAATCGAAATTCTCAACAATATTTCATACCCACCAGCTACCGGTATACATTTTATTTTAATGAGTGTTTTAATTTTAGACTCATATTTAGTATTTGTATAAACTCACCGTGGTGCAATTGCTAGTGAAACTGATACAACCTTATTCTTATGCCTCAAACTTTGATATTTTGAGTAGCAATTTGTAACTGACTGGAAGTAATTGTTATTGAAGTTATGGAATGGAGATCTATGAATGTAGTTTAGTCATATTCTATGATATATAGGTTAATGCTTTATCGATAGCCACACACACACATATATATATATATAACAGCTATTTGGTACGGAGAAAGGTTTGACGAATTGTACTAAGTTACTTTTCAAAGAAACAGCAAGTAGTTATTATGATTTGACAGAAATCAAGGCGGTTAAATAGATAATTCTGACCAATCAAAATACTTGGTCTGTCTTTCTATCATTGTTCTTCATATATAGTTCATGCCAATTAGCATTTTCCACGTGTATATGATCTTAACAATATGTGTTATATGAAATCAGATCAAGGAGAAGGAGCAAGCTGTAGCACAGCAGGCTGCACAATGGGAGCAGCCAAATTACAGGGTTGACACATCTTGCTTACCACAGCAACAACCCCCTCCCAGTTTGAACATAGGGTAGGGCAACCTTCAATGATATATTTTCTTTGATATGTTTTTAATGAGTAAAATGGTAGATAGGGAACAACCCTTGTGACTTCTGGACAGAAATTCAATGACATGCCGACATTTTTATGATATATATAGGATATTGTTTTTGCTCATTTTCATTTTTCCTTCTATTTTTGAAGGTATTTTACACCTTCATTTGTTCATATCCTCTAGCTGGAAAACTTCCTTTACCTGCTTCCAGTTCTTCTTTAATTTGGTAACTGCAACCCTAACACCATGTTTAATTTTGTTTGTGCAGTGGCAATAGTTACCATCAGGAGGCACCAGAACTAGGAAGGAACGGTCTTGACCTGACCCTGGAACCACTGTACTCATGCCACCTTGGATGCTTCTGAAAACTTGTTTCCTCTTGAGGTGGATACTACTATGTAGTTACTGGGATATATGAACAATTAAAAGTAGTCTGTTTGAATGCTTTTATATATGTGTTTGGGTCTATAGTTCTACTTTGAAGACATTGATGTGAATTGCTTTTGTTGTAAACATACTGAATTTTAAATCTAATTGTCTTATGGAACATCTTATTATGTTTTTCTTTGCTTTGTAGATCACCTTTATATGAAAAGTTTAAACTCGTTTTTAATTCTCATGATTTTTTTTCGTGGGTTTTGATTTTGGTCTATACTTTAAACACTAATTTAGTCGAGTAATAGGGATTAGTTCCTATTATAAGGCAGAGGAAATTCGTCTGTCTACATTTCTTTTAAAGATAAAATATAAAATAAAAGAAAGAAGTCAAATAAAAAATGAGAGTGCTCTGATCATTTAAGGGGTAAAATTTTAGTTATGACATGAAAAAAGTGGTATGCATTATCTCATGTAATTGTTGAGTAAAAAGGTCTTTAGAGAACAAACGAGTCTATCTCTTCTTTATATTATTTCTTTATAGATGACAATGGAAAATAATTTCTAATAATAGAAACTAAAAAGGTTTTTAAACTTAATTTAATTTTTTTTTTCAATTTCTAAGTAACATGAATTTGAAATGGAATTGTATGTTTGGATGTAGTGAACTTTCTCACTGATATAATCTTATACTATAACTAGAAGAAAAAAAATCTCTCAACCTAGCTATTCCCTTTATCTTAATTTTTGATATTATTAGTTTTTGTCTTTTTAATTACCTTTATTTATATATCTATTTCTGAATTGAATTTAATAGTTTTATGTTAAAATAAAATTGTAAATAGTTAAAAATAACTTAGTATTATGATTTAAATTATTCATTGTAAATTAAATAACATTTCTATATAAGATACAAACTAAAATACTATTAATTTGAATATATCATCAGTATTAAAAGGTTGTACCAAAAATGGCATAAAAATAATATTGTTTGTACGTACAAGAAACTATATAATTATTTGTATCTTGTTTTGAGTTATTCATTAAAACAAATTATCCACCTAAATTATAATGACTAATAAAATTCAAATTTAAGATTTTATATATATTATTTCAACCTCTTACTAATTAGATCACCTAAGTAGTTAGTCATAAAAGGATATATATATATATA